GCAGCAGCAGCAGCAGCAGTATCAATACGATGATGCTGATTGCTAGTCTGATTATTATTGTCACATGGCAAGGTTCTTCCGTACATTATGGCAGCATTTTTATAGGGACAAAAAGGTGGCATTGCGAAAGATCCCACGGACGAAGTGTTCTGGCGATTGAGGCCTGCGTGGACAAGCACGGTAAGGGTGCCTACCTTGCCATCGCCAAGGCCGGTGATCTGTTCTCCAAAAGGGTTCTATTTAAGGGTGCTATAAGGCAAGGGTGCAAAATGGTTTTAAACTTGGGTGCTACAAGGGTCATCTACGGTTGCAGGCTCTTGGAGGTGGGAGTTCCAAGATTCCGGCCTAGGTTTCAGGCTAAGGGCTTGGGGTGTTCAGGCTGCATGATTTTGGATCGCCACGCTTGGTGGCTCGGCCTCCAACGACCACACAAGGACTGTATGACCGTTCGAAGATCACCTCAGAGCTCAAAAGGACCCCACAAAAACCACTCTGCGACAACTAACAACAAGGAAAGCGGGTACAAGGCTCTTTGCCAATGATAGCGTCAACACATGGTTTGGATACAGAATCCCTGCTTGCAGCGCTTTGCCACTGCCATCAATGCCCCATCTGAAGCATTTGGGATTGAAAGTCGTGGCGACCTGCTTTCAGCCTTTTCCCGAGAAGAGGTTTTTAAACCCAAGGCCTGGGTCGGGGTTCACGGCTCTGGCTCACTGCGCCACTCTGCGTGTTTCAGGAGCCCGGTGAGCTTACTTTGGAGGAATGGCTGCAGATGTATTCAGCTCCAAAGATGATGAGGAAGCTGCAGGCGCTAGGGCATCCAGAGTTTAGACACCATAGCTGTGTTGGGCTTGTTTCAGGACGCTTCCGGGTGGGGAACGTTTTGATGCTTCGGATGTTGAGGAGGCGATCGGCTCTCCAATCGTTTCAGTGCAAATCGAGCTCGAATACACGAGGTTGTACTGTTGTTCGCTGTCATCACACAATCTCCGGGCATGTTCACCTAAGATCTACGATCCCCAGTCTTCCAACCGACAATCCCTGTTGCGAAGGCACATGGGCGGGCACTCTAGACGGTTCTGGATGCACGGAATTCTATGGTTGACGAGTCCCGAACCTCGAAGATTGCTGCCCTTGGCTTCAGCAAGCTCTTCCCAGATCTTGGCCAGGAGCTCCATCATGAGGTCTACGAAGAGGTGACCGGGAACAGACGGCTCTTGCTTCTACTACAGGTACCAATTCTATTTTGGTGGTTCCTCATTTGTAATTAGAGTTTAGTGTACCCTCGAACCCAATTCTGATTATTAAGGTCACTACATTACTTTCTTCGCAGAGCTTTGGATTCTGAAGCTCTGGGCTTGGAGTTCAAGGCTGTCGCATTGCGCACCCTGTCCACTGATAGTAGAAGCCCAAAAGTTGGAAACCGGATTAAGGACAAGTAGTGCTGGGATTTCCTATACAACATTCTGTAGGATCGAGGCTATCGGGATTCCAATTTTGTGGGGGTTTACTGTACAGTGTCCGCAGAAGGCGTGCTTTGGTCATGGCGAGCAGAGGGAAAGGAGCCTTGGTGAGCAGCCGCCTCAGTCCTGACCCTCCAAGCATCCCGAAGCCATCCTAGCCCCAAGCCCTAAAGGCCCTAACCCTAAACAAGACAACCACGGCCTAGACCCTAAACCCCCACACCACCCTAAACCCCACCTGAGTCCCTTGCAGGAGCAGCTGCGACGAGCTTTCACCCTGCTTCAAAACCTGACCGCCGGACCCAGGCATCTTGAGACGCCTTCTAACCATACAATAAAGTATATCTTTTTGCATGCACACACACACATATACGTATATAATTGATATATTGTAATGTGTATATATATATATACACATATACATATATATATATACACATACATATATATGGTAAGCCCCCCCCAAAAACCTACCTTTTGCAAGCTTCCTTCTATGCCCGAGTAAGACCATTCCAAGAATTCCAAGA